CCTTGCTGGCCATGGCTGCTGGGGGTCTGCGGGGTCGTCAAGGGCAGTCGCAGCAACGCTGGATCTTGCCCAGAGCGGCGGCGGCGAGCGCCAGCTCCAGTTTTTAAGGCGCCCCGGGGCCGGCCCGCCCCGCAGAGGGGAGGAGGCGCGGGGCGGTGTCCGGCAGACAGGCTGGGGAGTGACCGGGCCCTGCTCCAGGCTCCGCGAGCCCGGGAGCACATCCTGGCCTCAGGCTGGCCGCGGTGGGAAGGGGACAGTTCGAACCCAGGTCCCAGGAGGGGCTAAGGACTGCAGGGGGCCTGGGTCTGGGGTTCAGAGCGGGATCCAGAGAGGAGCTGGGGCAGGAGAGGGGCGCACACACCTCCCTGCACCTCCGTCTCCGATCCTGGGCATCCCCCAACCGGTGAGCGCAGGGTCAGTGCCGGGTCTGGAGCTCAAGGCTGGAGTTGACACTAATAACAGCAGCTGCCTTTTATTGAGCATTTCTCTTGCGCCAGGTGCTACCCTAACGCTCTACAGTCTCTTGTATAATCTTTACAACCACCTGATGAAGTGGGTGTTTTTATTTATAGCATCAGTTTACAGGGGGAAACTGAAGCAGAGAGAGGGCGAGTTAGGTCTCACCCAAACTCATTCGGCAGGGACTCGAATCCGCGTAGGTGGGCTGTAAACTCTAGGGCCCTGGCAACAGCCGCGCCAGCCAGCCCGACACCCGGGTTCGGGCACTGCAGACTGGCCATCTGCCCAGTGGGCCCTGGGACCGAGCGCATGCATACAGGGGAGGGCCGGGTAAAGCTACCCCCAGAGGGCGGGGCACCTGCTTGCGCACCTGCGGACGGTGCAACCCCAAGTGGAGGGGGAGAACGCGGTCCCCCCGTGCCTGGCCTGAGCAAGGAGATTGCCATCGGTCACCAGAGCCTGATGAGTTAGGCAGGAAGCACGGCTCAGAGGGGGCAGGAATGCGCCCTGGCCGATCGGGTCATCTCTCCTGCCGGGGCGCGTGGGGATAAGGGACGACCTGAGGGGCCAGGAGGGGAATTAGGAACCTGAGCTTGAGTGGAGAGGTCGGGGATCCCGGGGGCAGCAAAAAGACCCGCGAGGCACAACCCCCTGGCACACAAGAGGCGTGGGTCAGGCCTCACACTGCCCAGCGCTGTCCTACTCGCGACGGCCTTTGGAGCCGGGAGCCCACGCGGCACACCCTCTCCGCCTCTCTGGGTCTAACTCTTCCTCTCCGGGTCTGTTTGTTGCACCTCTGCTGGAGGCTCCCCTATTCTGAAGCTCTGGGAAGCCGCCCCCCCCCACCCGCCACCGCGCCACTCAGGCCTGTCCTGCCTGCTGGTTCCCTGCCTTTAGTGGTGGAGGGTCAGCCTCTGGTGTGGGGCGTCTGGAAGCGTGGCACAGACACAGCGCACCTAGGGCATGGATTCATGGAGAAGAGGTTACCCCTGAGCAAGCCGGAGAGGCAGGCAATGAGATTAGGTGCAGGAAGGCGGGAGCACCGTTGCAGACAACAAAGCAGCGCAATGGCCCGCCCAGGCCCAGCCCCTCCTGGCCCTGCCCTGGCTGCAACGGCGTGGGGGTGGGGAGGGGGGCGGCCTGCTCGCTGCCAGAGGGGGAGAAGGGAGCCCAGCCCAGTCCCTATCACAGCCCTGCCAGCCCTCCTCAAGACACTCGGGCCAGTCCCTGTAGCCAGGAAGGCCTTTGACTGCTCTAGTTAATCGCGGGGCCGCTGATGCTATTTGGAACCAGGCCCGGTGACGATGAGCAGACAGAAAGGCAGCAGCCTCTGTGGGAGAGATAGCCAACCCCCAGCAGGTGATGGCAGAGACAGCTCAGCATGGCCCTAAGACAGCAGACACTGGAGTCACTAGGTTCAGATACCCCCGGGGCAAGTCCCTTCCCCTCTCTGAGCCTCATAACAATTTCCCCAAAGTGTTTTTGTGCAGATGAAATGGGTACCGAACACTCACACAGGACCTTGCGAGAGGGGAGGAGCCCTGGGGCGCGGGGATGCGGAGAGGCTGAGGAGAGAGGGCATTTCGGTGGTCCCCTGATCTGCACTTTCACTTTCTGGAGTTTCAGTTATCCGCTGCTGGGGCTCAGAAACCGCTACCCCCAAGCATAGTGCTTTTCCAAACTGAAGAAGCCTCAGGTCTCTCTCGCCGTCTCCCCTCCCCGCATCTCATCTCTCAGTCCTTAGTCTTCCAAAGCACAGGGTGATGCTCTGCGGTTCCCTTATCTGCCAAAAGTCTGCACCTGCCAAAGAAGAAAACCGCCACCTCTGGTCCCTTCCCTGGGTTTTCCTTAACTGAACTCGTACAGGAAGAAAGTCTGAAGTCTCAACACACACACCTCTACAGACTTTTGTCACAAACCATTGTCTGCTCTGAAGGCCGAACAGACTTGTCCCAGGCCACTATATGTTCTCCAAGCCCATTGAATTTCCCTAAAGATCATGTGCTACCGCCTAAAATCATCCACACTTCTCCACCCTTTTTCCCATACGACCCTCTGCACCCCTGTGGGTGGTGGGGCCACTCTGATTTTCACCCCATGCACTAATAAATGTGTATGCCGTTTCTCCCACTAATCTGCTTTTGTGAGTTTATTTTTCAGTGAAACTTCAGAGGGCAAAGAGGAAGTTTCCCTTGGCCCCTACACCAAGGTCAACCAAGGTCAGACGCAGTAAATGGAAAATTCCAGAAATAAACAATTCATAAGTTTTAAATAACTTTTATTACAGTATATTGTTATAATTGTTCCATTTTATTATTAGTTATTGTTAATCTTTTTTTTCTTATTTTTCTTTTTAAATAATTAAGGGGGAGGCGAGCCCAGCTGGGCTGGCTCAGATGCAGGCAGGCGGCAGGGCTGAGACCAGTGGGTTATTGTTTTTTATTGTTGTTGTTGTTTTTTCCCCTCTGCGCCCCCCCATTCCCCAGTCATTGTTAATCTCTTCCTGTGCCTGATTTATAAATTAAACTTTATCATGCTGTGTATGTGCAGGAGAAAACATAGTATGTATAGGCCTCGGGACTGTCGCGGTTGCAGGCATCCTGGGATGTTTGGGATGGGGCAGCGGAACTACCGGACTCCTCTGGGGAAGTGAGACGCTGCCTCACAGGGCCCAGAGCACGTGGCAGGGGCTTAAAGGCAAAAAGCACTGCAGGTGCCTGTGGGCTGGGGAAGGGGCTTCCTGGAACAGGCAGATGTGGATGTTTGTCATTTGAGTCCAGCAGTAGGCCCTGAGTGTGTGCATGGGGGTTGCGGGGAGCAGCAGGGACCCTTCTAGGCTCTTTCAGCAGAGGCAGAGGGAGCCTTCCGAAGGCTGTCCCCGGGGACCTGGTGTAGGTGCCCTCTCCCCGACCCCCAGTCACCTGAGCTGCCCTTGCTCCTCCTTGCTTTCTCTCACAGCCCAAAGAGCTTTCGGGCACGCCCAAGCCCGGGGTGGCCTGCTGCTGGGGCACGCACAGGCCTGCTTATGTGCATGTGTCTGGGCCAGGGAGCAGGAACACCCCTCACTGCCCTGAGCTGCTTCCAGACCCTTCTTCACTCCTGCCCTGGCAGGGTTTGTGGGGTAGGGGACCAGCAGCCCCCTGCTCCTTTCTGCTTCCTCGGTGGATGCCCAGGGCAGCTGACCAGGGGACAGCCAGCTCAGCTGTGCCGGCCGCCTTGACCCCTGCTCCCCGCTGCAGAGGCTGGCTGGGGAGGTGGTGTGGACAGGCAGTGTCTGGAGTCAAGTGTGTACTCAGGCTCTGGCCCGGACACCCAGCACTGGAGGCCTGGGGCAAGTCCCTTAGATGCTCTGAGCCCAAACTGGCTGGGTGTCAAAGGGGAGTGTGGGGTCCCCAGGGAAGCCAGGTCTCTGTTCAGCCAACTCTGAACAAGACTGCTGGGCACGACGCAAACAGCCCTGCATGTAGGACATTGACCAGCCCAGTCCCTGGGTTGTTTTGGCACTTTGGGTACGGGGCACCTGCCACAAGTACCCTGGAGCTTGTGCTGTCCCAGTGGCTGGAGCAGAGAATGGAGGTCGACCAGGTGGCTCTGGAGCAAAGTCACCTGCGCTTGTGCCCAGTGTCCTGCTTCTCAGCTGAAGTGGGAGCATACAAATCCTACCTGATAGGTTTGTTCTGAAGATTAAATAAGGTAAAATGCTCAGAACGTACCCAACAGACGCCTGGGAAGAACTCAGCAAATGTTAATTTTTACTGTTTCTCTCTCAAGCAAAGCTTACTCTTGTGCACCTCTGCTGCCATGGTTTTTAATGACACCTCACAAGCTTCTGGGTGCAGGAAGGGACACCCCAGCTGCAACTCCAGAAGGGAGCTTGAGGCTGGGTGGGGCCAGGCAGGAAGTGCCCTGAGGTCACCTCGTGTCTCTGCTGGGGAAGGTGCTCTTCATCTCACTGTGGGTGTAGACTTCACCATCTTTGACAGTTCCTCTCTGCTCCAGGGAGGGCCTTAGGTGACCCTGTTCCCTGCAGGACCCTGGAGCCGTGGACGTACACCGTGGGAAGGCACAGGAGCCGGTCCTCACCTCCTGCTGACAGTGGGCTCCGGGAGACAGAGTGGGCAGGTGGGGCCACCCAAGGGTGAGCTAAGGCTGCTCCTGCAGACAGACAGGACCGCGTGTCCTGCCGATTGCCTGGGGGAGCTGAAGGCAGGGCCACCTACTCCATGTTAGAGGCAATGGGTGAGTTAGGGCAGAGGTGTTCCTGATGGCAGTGCCAGCTCTCATAGGTTCCAGAAGTGCCCAGTGTGTCCCTGTAGGGTACCTGGTCCCATCAGCAGGCTGAACCAGTTCCGTTCCTGGGAGGGCCCAAGGGGATCTTCATGGGCTCTGTGGCGCAGAGAGGAAGCATGGCCAGCAGTAGGGCTCGAGTTTTATTTGGAGTCATACACAAAAAATAAATAAATTCACAGCAGCATCTGTGGGGTCAGAAGGACCAGAGGGCAGAAAGGGCCGAGGGAGGGCGGTGCGGGCGGCACGCACGGCAGCTTGGGCGGACGGGCCTGGGTGGCCAGGCGAGGGGCGGGGAGTGTGGGCAGCTGCAGGTCGCACGCCAGGGTGGCACTCTTGTGCCAGGAGGGGGTGGGGTCCAGGGCAGAGGAGTGTCCTCGGGCCTCCGAGCTGGCTTGCAGCCCTCTAGTCTCCCCCACTCTTGGCCTGGAAGAGAGAATGACCCTCACACACAGCTCCAGACCCCCGACCCTCACTGGCCACCCTGAGTGGCCGGGGGAAGGTTGTCACCTGTGCCCCCTGCCTGAGGGGTCATTCGTGGGGGGATCTCACACTCAGGTCCGGGATTGGCCCTGCCCACAGTCCCTGTGGGGGCTGCAGGAGGTCGGGGGACCCCACAGACCCTGAGAGGGAGGCGGCGAGTCTGTGGAGAATGGGGACCCTACCCAGAAGCCCTCCGTGGTGTACCCCAGACCCATCTCCTACCTCCTCAGCCACTTCCTCTTCCTCTCTGGCTGCCTCGTCCTCCTGTGGGGGAGCAGGTTGCTTCAAGTCATCCTGTAGGGGAGCAAAGGGGACATGAGGCCATGTGGAGGACGCAGGGACCCGCAGCTGCCCTGCAACCAGGGCCTCATCTACCCTGGCCTCAAAGACCAGCAAAGGGGCTGGAGGTGCGGGAGGTGTGGGAGCCAGACTACAGCTGGGGCTCTGTCTGGCGACACCAAGGCTTTCTGGTATCACCCCCCAAGCTGATCCCTGTCTCTGGGCAGCCCCTGGTTGGGCTTCCTTGATGAGGCAGCCAGTGGGGTGGGCTGAGGTGGGGGTGGGGGACAGTGGCCCCTGAGCCCCAGGCCTGACCCTACCCACATGAACACATACCTTTGCTCTGCTGAGCCCCAAATCAGCCCTAGGTTGAGGGGTGTGTCATCAGTGCTCACACAGGGACCCTGCAGCCAGCGGGGCTAGGTGTCCAGCTCAAGGCCTCAGAGCTCAAAGGAGCAGGGCTTGTTGGCCTCAGGTTAGGCTTGCTCCAGGCCCACTCAGGTCCCCAGTAGCATGGGTCCCTCTCCCTGCCTCCTGGATGGGCTCTGGGTGCAGGCTGGTCAGGGCTAGCAAGGGTCACACAATCCTCTCCCACTTCCCATCTTCTTCTGTCCCCCTACACTCCAGGCCAGCCAGACACTTGACCCGAGTGGTCATGACAGCTGGTGATCAGCCTGGACACTGGTCTCAGCACCTATCTCTGGAGGTTCCTGCCACCTCTGTGCTGCCACAGGACTGTCCTGCCCTTTGTTGGAGTGGGGCATGAAAGGACAGAACTTCAGAGCTGGCCAGGTTCTCCAGGGAAGGGCAGGTGGTCACCTGCCTGGTCCTGCTGCCGCAAGGGTGGTGATGAGACCCGTGGAATGCACAGTCGGTCTGCATCCTTCTGCGGTTCTCTGGGGGTGAGTCATGACTGGGTTTTGGGTGTCACCAGGAAATCAGTCTCCCTTGGGGCAGCTGGGAGGGCTCACCAGCCTTCCTCCAAGCTCCTCGAGGAGGGCCCGGGCACCCCCACCCCAGGGCCTCTTTTGCTGGGGGTGGGCAGGGAGGGGGTCTCCCAGGGCATGTATGGGTTCTGCCCAGGCACTGACGATGATGACACAGTCACCTTCATTTGTTGGGTTCCCACCAAGAACCAGGCAGATCTCTTCATGGGGGTCCTATCCCTGCCTCATCACACAGCCCACTGAGACAGACACTTTTGCCCTCGTCTTACAGATGAGGTAGAGGAGACCCAGAGAGGTTACTTGGCTTCCCAAGGTCACACAGCTAGGAAGGGGCAGAGTGGGGACTAGGAGAGGAAGCAGCTGCCGACTCCTAGGACGTGGAGACCCTATGCTGGCCCTGGAAACAGACACTTGGGTGCACCCCAGAGCCAGGGGCAGGGTGGCCTCTACTCTTCCACCCACCCACTCCCAGGTTCTCAGTGCTGGGAGCCTCAGACTCCACTGCCCAGGCGGCCTGGGCCTGTAGCAGGTAGGGGAGCTGGAGACAGCACCCGCCACCCCCACCCCCGCCCCAGGTTGGAATCTCAGTCCCCCACCCCACCACCACCTACACTGCCGGAGTCTCTCAGGGCACAGGCCCCGGTGGTGAATCCAAGCTCGCGTGGACTCGCCATGGGACCTGGGACACATTACTTAATCTCTCTGGGCCTTAGCGTCCACCCCCTGTCTCATGGGATTTCGATCAGACTAAATGAGCTAATGAGCGTAAAATGCTTAAAGCAGAGCCTGCCCTGCGATAGGCGCTGGGACAGCTCACCTGGCCAACACCCACCCCAGGGGAGCTCGCCACTGCTCCCGCGGTCTCTGCTGCCGGGCCGAGCACACACATGCACACGCACGCATGCACGCACACAGTGCACCCGTACACACACAGCACGGGCACACGCCGGCCCACACACAAAGGAGGCCGCAGAGGGTGGGGTCAGGCCTCACTGCCTTCCCACCACCAGGGGGCGCCGCTTTCCTGCTGCTCCCCGGAGCGAGGCCCCGGGACGGAAGCTGGACCTGGGGGCGGGTGGTGACTTGGCAGCTCTGGCCTCGTGTCCACTGCCCGGGAGGCTGCCTGTCACCGTGTGAGGCCCTGTTGTCACTTACAAAATGTGGTATCTCCTAAATGCTGGGAGCCACACAGAGGGCGTGGTGTTGAGTCTCACTTTCCTTGTCTATAAAATGGGCCCACAACACCCGCCTCACAGGGGAGGAGGGGTGAGGATTCCAGCTGGGAATGGGTGTGAAATGCCAAGCACGGAACCCCGCTCCGCCCCTGGCACACAGCCGGCGTTGAAACTGAAGCTTCCGTCTATCTCCCTGTGTGCCCCAGGCAGGGTACAAAGCCCCCTCCTTGGCTGGCCTCCCTGGGCGGAGGACAGATGGGCCAGTCCGAGGGCTGGGGCTCACCTTGCGCACCACCCCAGAAGTGACCGCGATGTTCTCCGCCTCCTCCACCGTCTTGGCGGCCACGGTGTTGACGCTGGTGACCACAGCCTCGCTCACGGCGTTGGCCTGCTCCTTGGTCTTCTCAGCCACTGTGGGGGGACTCTGGCTAGTCTGGGCCCTGACCCCTCCCCACCAGGCTGGCCCTTCCCGGGCACTCAGAGCCCCGGCTCTACTGGGACCCTTGGCTGCCCCCTTTCTGACTCCAGGGCAGCTCTAATGCTGGTGGCGGGAAGGGCAGGCCCACCCTGGTCTAGCCTGGGGGTCTGGGTCCATGTAGGGTTTGGGCGCACAGTTGGGAGTGAGGGAGGACCCTGGGCTTGGGCCCTCAGTACTAGGGTACAGAAATCCCCGGGGTCCCAGCCCCCATGTCCCCCAGCGCTGAGGCTCCTCACCTGAGGTCACGCTGTGCACGACACCCTCCTTGGTCTTGGCTCCTGGGGAGGAAGTGAAGGCATCAGCCCAGGACCACCCCTCCGGGTGTTGGTGGTGTCAGGGCAAACACCACAGAACAGCTGACAGCTGGCCCAGCTGCGGGGTCAGTAGGAGGTGAGGAAGGTGTCTGGCGGCAGCTGCCCCTTCAAAGGGCCACTTCCTGCTGTGTCTGGAGGAAGTGGACGGATGGGAAGGGGACAAGACAGGGTGGGGGACACGAGAGACCAGGCCTGAGGGGGACACTGGTTGGACTCAGGGTCTAGACCCTGTTGGGGTGTGGCCCGGCCTCAGAAGCAGCAGCAGCAGGACAGGGCGGCCAAGCGCTGAGTCATCAGCCTCCCCTTCCTCCTCTTGAGGGGGCCACAGGGGGATGGGGCGGGTCAGACACTGAGCCTGGGTCTCATCTCCCCAGCCCAGCCCGTCCCTCTGGGAGGCGTGGGGACCTGTGGCCTGGCTGCTGGCCGCAGCAGCTGCCGGTGGAGAGGGCGGAGAGCCCACCTGAGCACCAGAGTGCTTCGGGGGCTCCAGCTCCAGGGAGCCCAGTGTGTCCCATGCCTTTGTGTGTGCACAGACAGGTGGCCAGCCGTGTCTGCCATCTGAGTGTCCCTCTTGCTGTTCTGTCCCAGGTACTGTGGATGCTCCAGGGCTTAGAGACCCTGGCTTCACAGCCAGGGTCTCACCCCCTCCCAAAATGCCTCCCTGGGGCTGGGAGCAAGGTCAGGCCAAGGTAACTGGGCACCCCACCCTCAGGCCACCATGCGGCCACGCCCAGCCGCGCCCCCACTCACCCACATACATGACCCCCTCCTTGGTCTTCTCGGCTGCCTCTGTCACCCCCTGCTTGGTCTTCTCCACGGCACCCACCACGCCCTCCTTGGCAATGGAGAAGCCCTTTTTGAAGACGTCCATGGTGATGGACAGGGCCGGGCTCAGCTGCTGCAGGCAGGACGGGAGCCGGACTCTCCCTGCGAGCTGCGGGCTGGAGCTGGCGCGAGTGCTGCTGCAGTGGCTGTCCCCGCCGCTGCCTCCTATTGACGCGATGAAATATTGATGCGGAGGCCAGCTGGAGCCCAGCCAGCCCGGGGTGCAGGGAGGGAGGGAGGGAGGGAGGCCTGCCCACACTTTCCCCCAGGGTGGGGCAGCAGGGGACCCTGCTGGCTCAGCCCTGTCCTCCTGCCCCTGCCCTCCAGGAAGGGGATGCAGGGGGCTGGACGCATCTTAACCCATCCTGCCCCTCATGCATTCGCTGCCTTGCCCACCCACGGCGTGGGCCCTGGCTGGGTGCTCTCGGGCTGGGGGCTGCTGTGTCTGCGCTGTACCTGGGGAGACAGGCACAGAGCGGGGAGGCACCTTGGCTGTTGCCCCCGCGTCCCAGGTAGGGCAGGGGTCAGGCCATGCAGGCCTGTCAGATGAGACAGGCCAACCTCCCAGACCGATCTGGGTTGACCAGCTACCCACCAGCATCCTGGATGCCCCTGGCCCCAGGCTCTGCAGAACCAGTCGGAGGAGCTGGGAGGGGCACGCAAAGGACTTCCCCAGGCCCTGGCCCCTGGCTGCACGCTGTGCCACCCCAGAATAGCTTCTTTCCTTCTCTGAGGCTCCACCCACCAGCTGGCTCCCACAGCCCAGCAGTGAAAGATGCTGAGGAGGCACGATGTGCCCCCCACTTCCTGGCCAGCAGCGTGAATGGGCAGCGGGTCCCCGAGACCAACCCCACCGCTTCCTGCAGCCCCACCTTGAGGCTTATGCGCTTCTCCTGGCTCCCAGGGAGCAGGTTCCCATGGGGACGCGTTTGGTGGGGCCACCCCTTGTGTCTCCCACACCCCCAGTGTCCCTGAGCCAAGTCCTCTTGGGGTACAGGGAACGGCCTGCGTGGTTGGTGGCCCCTGTGGGGAGCAGGCAAGGGCGGGGCAGGGGCCGGATGAGACCCACCGGGTGGGCCGGCCCAGGCCACTTCCTCTCTTTGTTGTCCCCGTGTTTTCTTTTCCTTCTGAGATTTAACTTGAAACCAACGTCACTGGCAGTTTCTGGAGTCACTTGCTGAGCCAAGCCTAAGCCTGTCCCACCACCAAGATGATCCTGACTCTGCTGCTCGGCCTCGGGGGGCCCCTAGCCTGGGGACTGCTGGGGGCCTGGGCTCAGGCCCCTGGTACTGGGTTCTCTGACCCACACAGCTCCAGGCTGCCTGGGGTCTGGAGCGCAGAGGCTGAGGACACCAGCAGGGACCCTGTTGGACGGTAAGACGGCCTGGATCTTGGCAGAGGTCATGATGCAGGACCTGGGTCCCAGCTCATCCAGAGCAGGGCCTCTCTTCCCCATCTGTGAAATGGGCTGATGTTGTCCCTCTGCTGGGCCAGCTGTGAGGCTTAACCGGGCTCTCCTTCCAGGGGCCACCCCCAGACAGCCTGGACTGGATGCTCCGGGGTCCGCCTAAGAATGACAGGGAGTTCCCTGTCTGAGCCATGGCAAGGAACAGGGCCTTGGACAGCGAGGGAACAGCTCCTGCCGTCAATCACCCAGCATGGGGGTGCTGAGGGACAGTGGCCCTGGACGTTCCAGCTGGCCTGGCCATGGCTTCTCTTCTTCGAAAGAAATCAATTCTGAAAGCTGAGCCCCAGCAAGTCTGGCCCGGCCTAAGCCACAGAGGACAGATGCTCCTGGGGCTGGGGTTTTGAACTGAGTCCCCGGGGCCCAGCCCCGATTGCCCAGCGTGAGAAGAGAGGGACCCCTGCTCTCCAGAGCACAGGGGGCAGGGGCATCTGGGGAGCTCTGCCTCGGCGCCCCTGGGAAGGGGAGGGGTGGTCTTGCGACTTGGACCCCCGACACCGTCTTCCAACGTTCTATTCGTCCAGGGTCCAGGCCGCTCCTGCTGACAAGGTGCTGGGCCTGTGGGTCCCACCAGGGGCTGTGGTGGCCCTGGAGCCTCATCTGCAACCACAGAAGAGCAGCAGGTGCCATTTACTGCACGGTCTCTGGGCACCTTGCCAAGGGTTTCTCAGTGAACCCCCCCCAGAGCCTGAGGCTCGGAGAGGCTGAGCAGCTCACCAGGGTCACACAGCTAGGGCGAGCCGAGGCAGCATCTGAGTGTGACTGCAGAGCTCACGCTGGACCCTGAGAGTGGAGCGCTCAGAGGCAGCCCACCCCCAGATGCCCTACCCCAGCCCCGGCTGCCCCCGTGTCCCTCACACACCAGGTTGGTTGGTTGAGTACATCTGTGTGGGTTTGGAGGGTGAGGGGGGCCCATTCGCATTCACCCAGCGTCTCCCGTCTGGATGTACGACAGTCACCATGACGCTGGCTCACAGAACGGATCTGCCTGGGACAGTCTCGGGCAGCTTTGCATTTCCAGGTGAAGGTTTGTTGGGCACTTTCCCGACAGCAGATTTGACCCGGGAGAGGCAGGGCTGAGAGTTAAGTGCACATCAGCCCACAGGCCCTTCGCGAGCCGGGCTGGCCTCGGAGAAGCCCCCTCCTGCCGGCTCCCAGGTCTTCTCAGGGCCGGAGGCGTGGGCGATTCTTGGGGGTGGGGCGAATCCAGTCACCCAGCTCTGATTTCAGGACCAAGGACCACGTCTTCCCTCCCCAGAGCTCCATGCCTGGGTCTCTGGGCCCCCTTCCTCCCTCGGAGGACAGTGGTCAGGAAGGAGGAGGGAGCTGCTTGGTCGTGGGGAGGGACTTGGATCCCTTGGCCTCAGGGAGCAGGCTGGGTCCCCTCAGCCGTTCCCTGGGGGTCTCATATGGGAAGGTGCGCACAGGTACACCCGGGCCAGCAATACCCAGGTCCCAAGCCTGGGACCGCCCTGACTGCTGGGGTCTCCTTCCCACAGCCCTAGAAGCTGCGTCCCCACAGGCCGGCCAAGTTATCCAGCATCCGGAGAGCTGGTGAGAAAGGAAGGAAACACTGCGGCTTCCTGGACTAATTGCTTCCCAGGCTCCTGTGATGGGAGGCGGAAGTGCGCTCCAGTCCCCTCCTGGAAACCCCGCACTCCAGCAGCAGGGCTGGTGACACCATTAGTGACTAGGCCTCCAGCCTGCATTTGCCCTCAGGCCTGTTTGCAGAGCCCGGTGGGGGCAGGCCCTGGACACAGACCCTGTAAGAGCCTTAAACGACTGTGTCTGTGGACTGCAGGTGGGGATGGCGGAGGGACATGGTTTACTGCTTCCCAGGTGCTTGGGGACCTCAAGGGCCCTAGCCTGGGGAGCCAGCAGCGTGAGTGCTGGGAGTCCGAAAGGAGGAGGCCCTTTCCGTGCTCCCAGGCGTGGTGGGGTGTTTCGATTGTGGGTTCTTCAGACCCAGGACTTGCTGCCCCAGTGCGACTGTGTCTGCTGCGGTAGGGACCTACTGACCCCCAGGCAAGGTGGCCCATCTACCACTTGCTGTGACAGCTCAAGGGGTGGGGACGCTACCCAGGGCCACAGAGCCAGGGCCCCCCAGGCATCCTCCGTCCTATCCCCTAAGACAGTGGTAGTGTACGGGGTGCTGCTCCCAACAGCCTGGCCGCTGTCGCCAGCACCCAGCCTCTCCCGGGCCCTCACACAAGGAGCACCTGAGATTTTGCCCGCCGGGGGGTCGAGCCCCAGAGGAGTCCAGCATATGGCTGGAGGTCACACAGGAGGAGGGCAGAGCCCAGGCCAAGGTCTCTGGGCCACACTGCACCTCCTGCTCCCACTCCTGCGCCGGGCCACGTGGCCCTGGCCATGAGCAGGGAAGAGCCCCCAGGCCCACACTCAGGGAACCTGAGGGGGCCTCAGGCTTCTCTGCCAAGGCCCCTTTCTGCTCAAGGACAAAGCCCTGTGAGTTTCTCCCCTGGGACAGTTACGTTAATGGCTGGATCAAGGCCTCAGAAAACAAGGCTGCTGAGAGTACGCCCTCCCTCCGCAGGACCACGTGGGCCCAGCAGGAGGTGGGTGTACTGGCTGCAAAGAGGCTTTCCAGGCCATTTACATAATGGCCTCCGGCAGCCACAGCCATTATGCGGAAGGCTGGGCTAACGGCCCCTTCCCTGCGGGACGCTCCCTCTGCCTCCCCCACCCCTGCGCTCCAGGATGAGGCTTCTCCACGTTTCCAGAACCAGGGGAAGGGCCTGTTCAAGGTCACCCTGGGTTCAGAGAGCAGAAGCGCTGAGAGCCCAGGCCTCCCAGCTCCCAGTTAGAAGGTGCAAAGGGGCCAGGAGACTGTCCCATCTGGGGCGGGCTAAGGGCAGGCCCAAGCCAGACCGGAGAGCCCCTTCCGCCCCCACCGCCCCGCACCAAACTCTGGGCTGCCCCCTCCCCCTCCGTAGACCACTGGGAGATGGGGGCACCCAGCGGGGCTCCCCAAGGGAGGACACAAAGAGGGAGGGGGCCTGCGACGGAGGGGCAGAGAGAACAATGGGCACTTCAGCAAGTTGGGCAGGGGGCACAGGCGCCTAGGGCCAGCACGAAGCTGCCAAGAGGAGGAGGAAACCAAAGCAAAGGTCAGGAATGTTCCCAGGGCTTCTGGGCCAGCAGCCTGCATGGTGCCAAGGGAGGGACTGCCCAGGGTGGGGGAGTGCGGGCCAGAATAGTGGCTGCTGGAGCCCAAGATTCCGGAGGCCAGAAGAGAAAGTTCCTGGGCAGGAAGGGTGGGCGGCATAGTTTTCAGTTCCAGGAGCTGGAGGTGGAAAGTCCTGGTCACTCCTGGCACGCTGGACCAGGCCAGGCACGCTGGGGCCACAGGCCTTCCAGGCCCTCTGCAGCAGGTCAGAGGGTGTGCGAGAAATGGAACTTTGTTTAGAGACCGTGTTTCTTAAACCTTGGCACTAATGACATTTTGGACTCGCGAATTCCCTGTGGGGGTGTGGGGGCTGTCCTGTGTATTGTAGGGTGTTTGGCGGCATCTTTGGCCCCCACCCACTATACACCAGTCACGGGTAGCACCCAGCACGCAGTTGTGACAATACGCCTGGGGACAGTCCCGTCTCCTCCCGTTCAGAACCAC